AAGCTGTTGATTAATTGGTCCCATTAATCCAATAATGAGCTGACGGGGCTGGTGAAGAGCTCAACTGGAAGGAAAGCCCTCTGGAAATGCAGCTTGCTGGCCCTTGTCCCTGTCCCTGTCCCAGAGCGTCTCTGGTGGACAGCCGCAGTGCCCCTGGGACCTGTTCCTTGCTCCGCGCTGCTGCCCCAAGCTACAGCTGAAGGGGAACAGTATCTCATGGACAGCAACAGTGCAGATTTATGGGCTCTTAAAACAAGGGGACTCCCTTGGATCTGTACCCGGGGAACACAGCACACTCCCAGTGTGGACAACAGTGACCACAGTGCCGTGTGGTGCGTGCTGCCATTGTCCACTAGAACTTAGTGTGGATGAAAGCTTCAAATTTCAGTGTTCTTAGTTCTTAGTGCACTTCTTTACTACAGCCTTTGACTAAGTATTAGCATCCTGTACATGTTAATGTATTTATTGAGGCCGTATGCTGACTCCATACTGTACATGCTTTCTCTTTATCAATGTGGACCTAGTTCTATACATATTAAGTACATCCGTGTGTCTAATTGTGAACTTGCTTTGCTGACACTTTCATGCGAGGCAGCAAGCGCTGGTGCTCATTCACACAGCTGGGCGTGTTATTGGGCTGACCTGCCCGATGCACTGCTAATCCCACTGTCCTTGCAGTTAGGAGCCCAGAACCCAAACCAGTACTCCAAACTGCTGCCAATACTCGACAAACTGCACTGCCGTTATACTCTGACGAGCCATTTATGTGCACACTGTGAAATAAGCATTACAGTACTCCGCATTATCACGAACACATATATATATATATGTTGCAATATATGTTCAATTCAACTTTATTGTGTTTCTCATTAGTCGCTCAGGTGCAGTATATAAATAGAACAGAAGATAGGACAATAGACAGTAACACAATAACAATAACAGTGTAATAACATAACATGTAATAAAAACTGTGCAAAATCCGCAGAGAAAATAATACAACAGGACAGAAACAGTGCAGGGTAATTCGGGGAACAGCGCAAGAATAGTAATGATTAATAAATATTACAACTAATAGTTTTACTGAGCTGTCGAAGGGACAGTACAATTTCGGCTGACATATATACAGTATATTTAGTTGTCAATTGCTTGATTTTAGGGGGTAGATGGTCGACATTCCTGTCACAGCGGGGGCCGGGGACGATGTTATTGCAGAGCTCTGCTGTCCAACGGGTGGCAAATGTGAAAACAGAAGCGCCCGCTCCGCGACCAGTTGGCGGAGCAAACAAACCGCGTCGGGGCCCGGGCTGGGGGAGAGGACATCTGGATCCGCGGGGTGAACTTTTGTCGCGGCGCTCTACCGCGGGGCGGGGAGGGCTGACCCGGGAGGGAGCCGGTCCCAAAACGTCCGTTTTCAAAGACTCCGAAGGGGCGAGCCTTAAAATAAAATGGAGGTTTACTGCAGACTGCGGGTCTCGTTTATCTACACTGTACGTGAAAAAGGTCCTTACCAGTATCGCGTCTAGCCCATCAAACAAGAAAAAAAAATCAGATAGGGTATATCTTTCTCGTCTTTAAACCTGGTCATATCTACTTTTAATATAGGTTATCTGGAGAATATACGAGTTATTTGAAGTACATATGGGTTATATAAGTAGATATGGGTCATCTGGAGTATTTATGGGGGTTATTAAAGTATATATGATATTTGAATTCTAAATGCAATGAAGAATGAGAATTGTGCAGCTTGTTCTATGTATGTGTGTGGAGGGTATGTTTATTCGCTTTCAGTGAACCTCATATCGCATCTGTGCACTGTTAAGAAATAATGGGGATTCCTATCGCTCGAACCTCGTCCATTTGTGCCGTTTGTGTCAGTTTGCTGCCCTGGCGGGGGGGCTGTGTGTGTGTGGTGGGGGGGGATATCAGCCCGAAGCCCTCAGAGCCCATTAGAGGGTCATTACCCAGAGACACAGTCGCCTCTCCCACCTCACACCTCGCCACACACGGGCTGCGGGCGCGTGCGGCTTGCGCTCCGGGTTTCCAAGGGCAGCCAGTATATTTCAACACGCTAGGCTTTTTTTAATTGTAGGACGGGTGGCTTTCGTGTAGGCTTTCACGGTTTTCACTGAAGAAAAATGTTTCGAGAGACAGCGAGAAAGGAGAGTATTGTTTTCTCGAATAGTCGCACGATTCTGATGATGTTCTGTTTGTTGTTAGAAAAAAAGAATGGACTGCTTGCATTCATTCTTGAAAGCCAATCAATTTCCACAGTTTTCTCTCTCCCAAGACTCGTATACTTAGATAAAGACGCACCTTACATCAAGCAAGACGTAAGACTTTCTCCCTAGTGTTCGGTCATTAACATTTAACCAGGTAAAAATACATAGTTTTTCATCTTTAAGTCATAAATGGGTTTATTAATCTCTTTAATCGTCAGATGTTTTTGGTGTTCTCGGATAATGTGGTCAGAATGTTGGGCCTTCTTTCGCGAACGCAAGCAGTCCAGAACAGGGGGTTTAGACTGAACCCCGAAAACTCCTAAACAAGCAAAGTTCGTGGGCTATTAGGTCTTGCAACACTAACTACATAGATCAAAAACAGTGATAAGATATCTTACAATAATTTTGTAACTGAACAGTATGATCTGTTAAAAATGGCCCTTTTAACATACTCTTTTAACAAGCTTAATACGCAACGGGCTTTCATATACAAATTGTGTGTGACACATCAAGGTATGTGCCACAGTAAGGTTTTAATAAGGGCAAACTCATATCGGGATTTCGCCCTCGATATTCTTATCTTAAAATAACTGCCCTCGCTTCTCACGGGCCGAGCAGCTACAGCGCTCTTTATCATCAGCTCTGGGCTGGAAAGTAATTTTCAGTCTTAATTAGCCCCCCGCCCCCCTGCTCCCGCGCCCCCCGCGGACTTTCTCACAGATGGTGTCTGACTTTCCGCCTTCTTGTTTTCTCTTGCCGCCTCTCTGGTACCGCATTTCTCACCCCCTCGCTGCGGGTGTCTCTGTTTATCCAAGTGGGACACTTTAACACCAAAATGCACATCGTTTGGTAGCGGTGCGCCCTCCCCCCCACTTCCCTCTACCCAACCACCCCCCCCACCTTTGCCGAGGTCTTTAAAAAGCCGGGACAGAGGCACAACCGCAGCCATCACACGCACCGAGAGCAGACTCCTCTCTGTCGAGGCGAAGCTGACCGTCCCGGGGCCACGAGAGAGACAGGGCGAGAGCAGACGCGTCCAGAGCAGGAAGAGAGGGAGACACGGCTCGCGCTGCGCTGCAGGAGAAGACCCCGCGACCACAGACAATGGAAGCCGCCTGCGTCGCCAGCAAACAGGCGTCTCTCGGGACGCCTCCGGTGTCGTTCCGGTGTGCCCTGAGCACCAGCGG